GTTCGTTTCCAGTAAGCTCCCCGAGGCATGTTTTTTCGACCGGACGCGTCCGGTCCACCTTGACCGGACGCAGACCAGCGTCCGGTGCTCAACCCTACCCACTGTGCCGTCTGACAGCTCGACCGGACGCAGCCTTTCAGCGTCCGGTCGCTGAGTGACCCAGCGTCCGGTCAGTAGACCGACGCCAGCATCATTTCGACCAACTCCATTTCAACTCTAACTTCTTCACCCTTGCTCAAATGTGCCAACCACCAAGAATTTTGCATCCGGCGCAATAGAAAATAGACATTTCATTTTTCCAAAAGCGTCGAATCCAAGGACCCAAACCCATCTCAACCCTGCAAACACCCTGTGCACATGTGTTAGCATATTTTCACAAATATTTTCAAGGGTGTTAGCACTCCACTAGATCCTAAATGCATATGCAATGAGTTAGAGCATCTAGTGGCACTTTGATAACCGCATTTCGATACGAGTTACACTCCTCTTAATAGTACGGCTATCTATCCTAAATGTGATCACACTCACTAAGTGTCTTGATCACTAAAACAAAATGGCTCCTATATTTTATACCTTTGCCTTGAGCCTTTTGTTTTTCTCTTTCTTCTTTTCCAAGTTCAAGCATTTGATCATCACCATGCTATCACCATTGTCATGATCTTCGTCATTGCTTCATCACTTGGAGTAGTGCTACCTATCTCATAATCATCTTGATAAACTAGGTTAGCACTTAGGGTTTCATCAATTAACCAAAACCAAACTAGAGCTTTCAAGCTTGCCAGAAAAAACGAGAGCGGTAGTAATCTAATTTTTGAAAGACTCCTCTAGGGACTTCAAAAAAAAGATAACATGAACATGGCTAAGCTAGTTAGCACCGAGTTAATAAGGACAAGACGTCCTCCGACAGATAATAATTTACTTTTTCAGCTACATAGTTTTTTCTAGAACTTCTCTTCAATGATGGCCCAATCCTTGTTAGATAGTTTAACATGGTTCATAGGGATACCTAGATACCGGAAGGGGAAATCAACTAACCGGCATCCAAAAATGCTCGCATACTGCTGTTCACAGTCCTTGGCCTTACCGTAAGTGAACAACTCACTTTTGGGAAAATTAATTTTCAGTCCCGATAATTGCTCAAAGGTACTAAGCACGAGCTTTAGTTCACTGACTTGTAGCGTATCATGACCCAAAAACAAAATGGTATCATCCGCATACTGAAGGATCGAAAGGCCATCATTGACTAGATGCGGGACAACCCCTCTAATATTTCCATTGGACTTAGCCTGAAAAATCAGAGTTGCTAGCATGTCTGCTACCAAGTTCAATAAGATAGAGGATAGAGGGTCTCATTATCTTACTCCTTTCTTGGTTTGGAAGAAATGTCTCACCTCATCATTCACTTTGATGCTTACACTACCACCCTTTACTATTTGATCAATCCAGTTACACCAAACCGGTGAAAAGCCCTTCATTCTTAAGATTTGTTGCAAAAAAGGCCATTTAACCTTGTCATAGGCTTTCTCAAAGTCTAGCTTTAAGATCACCCCATCTAATTTCTTTCTGTGCATCTCATGGATGGTCTCATGTAGGATAACTACACCATCCAAGATATTCCTCCCTTTCATAAAAGCAGATTGAGACGGTTGAACAACCTTTTGTGCCACTAGTGCTATTCGGTTGGTCAAGACCTTTGTAAAGATCTTGAAACTAACGTTCAACAAACAGATGGGTCGGAATTGCTGAATCTGTGTCGCTTCTTTTTGTTTTGGTAGCAATGTAATTGTGCCAAAGTTGAGACTAAAAAGGGGTAGACTACCTCTATGAAAATCAGCGAAGAGGGACAGAAGGTCTCCTTTTATAACTTCCCAAAATACCTGGTAGAACTCGGCTGGGAACCCATCAGGTCCAGGAGCCTTATTATGCTCCATTTGGAAAATAGCCTCTTTAACTTCTTGTTCAGAAAATTCAGCCGTTAAGATTTCATTTTTAAGGTGTGAGACTTACGGAATGTCAGACGTAGCAGATTCCACCAAAGAAAAGTTGTTAACATCCAGACCCCAAAGAGACCTTTATAGTAATTGGTAATTGATTTCTTTAGATTTTGATCACCTTCGATTACTCCCTCTTCTTGTTCGAGCGGAAAATCCGGGTTCTCCTGTGTTTACCATTAGCCACAAGGTGAAAATACTTAGTATTACAATCACCCGATAACAACCTGGTTGTCTTGGCTTTTTGGTACCACTTGACTTCCTCCTCCCATAGAAGGGAGGTCAGTCTCTCTTTGTAAAAATGTTTAAGGTCTATTTCTAGACTACTTAAAGGTTGCACTTCCGCCTTTTTGTCAAGCGCCTCAGCTTTTGCAATGAGTTGGGCCTTTTCTTTCTTATAATTCCCACTCACATTTTTAGCCCATCCCCTTAAAAACTAAGTCGTTGTATCTTACATTGCCAACATTGTAGTGGGGTGCTGCCCCCCTGTTCCTTGGACCAAATTCCGGCCACTAAAACATTAAAGTCATCCCTCAACAACCAACCGAGTTTAAATTTGAAACCCGATTGCTTGTTACCATGAGTGCCATTTCCAGTGTCCAATAGCAATGGAGTATGATCTGAAATTTCCCGTGTCAACGCTTGTACCGTTGCTAGCGGGAATTTAGACTCCCATTCCGTACCAACTAGGATTCGGTCTAGTCTTTTAAAAGTTGGGGTGTTCCTGGAATTGGCCCATGTATATTTTCTATTAGAGAGATCTAGCTCCCTAAGACCCAAGCTATCAATAATAGCATTGAACACGAAAGACCATCGGTCATCATATATGTCATTATTCTTCTCTTGAGGGCTTCTGGTGACATTAAAATCACCACCCACGAGAATAGGATCAGCTTCTAACAATTACTCCTGTGGTCCGAATCCGATGATCTATATAGATGGATGGATCGTGGATGTGATCTGGAAAGGGCATGGGCCACACACAGAGTGAGAGTGCCCTAGATTGGATTGGATAGCTGGAAATCGCGTACTATGGCCGCACTAGGACAACATTGGCACATCGCATGTCGTTGACATTTTGAGCCATGGGCAACATGACCTGTCCGCCTATTTCAGCACAAACTGATGCTTTCTTCCGGTGCAATAATCCTGTTTCAGCACGCTAACGCCAGTGCCATTGCCTTAGTGACCTTTTCTTTTTCTATTTTAGTCTAAAATTTAATAATACATTTTCTGTGATATGCAACTCCGGTGTTGACTTACTCCCTCTATCCTGAAATATAGTGCATTCTGGCATTTAAAATTTATCCTAAAATATACACTAGCGAACAAAAAGATAATGTTTACTTAAATAAAAATATGTGATTATTTTGTATAAGCAAAGTAATTCGTGTACTTGCTATATTTTCAATAAGGAGACTAAGAGTTCACTCTTTAATCGTGCGAAATAGAATCAGATTTCAATACATTAGGAAGGTAAGTGAGGGGTACATGTATAGTTTTAAATAGCGGGCTATTGAAAATAGCGGCAACTTTTTTTCAACAGCTACGAGGCTATAGCGGCGCTATGACAGATAGCGTTGTTATAAAGAAAACATGAAAAACACCAATAATTGATGAAAAAAACAAAGTAAACATGAAATTCGATGAATACAAATATGTTTCTAATGTTCCACAAGTCTATGTAACATTACTAATATGACATTACAACATGGTTCATGAAAGTCCAGTGTTTAATTATCCAAAATACCAAATTAGTAGCAAATGAAAAGTAGGAAATAACAAACAGACGGTAATCTTCTTGTTTGGATTACTTATTAGGCCTAACATTAGATAGTAATAACTAACAATTAGCTCTAATAACAAACAGACGGTAATCCTTAGTAGTTATTAATCTATTATTTTAGTTTGATAGGTTGCCTTTTTCTTTTTATATAATTTCCGTGGGGGCAAAACATATTGTTACTTCTCTCGAGAGGTAGCATCGTTGTTGGGCGGTAACCGCACCAAACGATGCAGGTAGGAGGAGCGCATATGGAGTGAAATTGTTGAGTAAGAGCCATTTTCTCATACAGAGTCACAATTTCGGGCTTCGACGGAAGGGCTCCGGCTCCGGCACTAGAGCATGTGAAGCAAAAGCCCCTCTAAATTGCCCCTAAACTCAAAGCGAGAAGATTAAAAGTGAGAGACGGCAAACCAAGGAGGTGGAAGAGAACGAGAAGAAACAAAAGAAAGAAATGTACCGTTTCGAATATTGTCCAAATATATAAGAAAAAATATTAATATTTATGATGTATAATTAGTATCATTAATTGGATCGTAGAATCTATTTTCATAATAAACTTACTTGAAGATATAATGTTGCTAATATTTTATATAAGTTTAGTCAAACTTCAGAAATTTTGACCGTCACGTAACACTTACTCTATTTTGGAACGGAGTGAGTATAGATTAAGTTCAGGGTGCAGTGTATATCGGTCCCACGTAATATACAGGACAGCCAAGAAAACGCGTTGCCGGTGACGATGCCGGGGTTGTGTCGTCTCGCAAATGAGGACGAAACAAAGATGAACAGACAAGCTGGACTGCAGGCTACTAGTGCAGTCCCCATTTGTGTTGTGTGTGGCCGAATCGACCTACGTGCCAGGCTGGCTACCAGGGAGAATACGATGATATCTGTGCAGCCCATGCTTGGTCGTATACGCAATGGAGCAGAGGCAGACAAACGGAAAGGGCACAGCAGCTTTTATATGCCATGATGGATGGATGCGTGGGAATGCATGCGGCGGCCGCCGATGCGATGCGCGCGTGAGCGACCAGTGACCGTGACCAGGGGTGGTGGCCGCGGTCACCATTAAGGGTACAGTACCAGTAGTTACGGTGGCTGTCCTCTCCCTACTTACTAAATCTCACTCCAATCACCCAGCGAACACCGACTGGTCCGTCCGTCCCTGTGAGTGATACTAGTGACAGCGAGCGGCAATGGCGCAACTGCTCTCAGCACTCCCAATGCCCGTGCTGCTGCCTTTCCTCCTCTTCCTGGCCGCCGCAGGGGCAGGGGCAGGGGCAGAGGAGGCAGCCTCCGCCTCCAGCCCGACGCTGGTGTTCCTCCTTGCGGGGCAGTCCAACATGGGCGGCCGCGGCGGCGCCACCAGCGGCACCTGGGACGGCGTGGTGCCGCCCGACTGCGCGCCCTCCCCGCGCATCCTCCGCCTCTCCCCGTCCCTTCGCTGGGAGGAGGCCCGGGAGCCGCTGCACGCCGGCATCGACCTGCACAACGTGCTCGGGGTCGGCCCCGGGATGCCCTTCGCGCACGCGCTCCTGCGGTCCTGGCGCTCAGGCCGCCGCCGCCCCGCCGTCGTGGGGCTCGTCCCCTGCGCGCAGGGCGCCACGCCCATCGCCAACTGGTCCCGCGGCACGCCGCTGTACGACCGCATGCTCGCGCGCGCCAGGGCCGCCCTCGCCAATGGATCCACCAGTCTCGGCGCGCTGCTCTGGTACCAGGGCGAGGCAGACACCATCAGGCGCCAGGACGCCGACGTCTACACGTCCCGCATGGAGGCCTTCGTCCGCGACGTCAGGCAAGACCTCGGCATGCCGGACCTGCTCGTCATCCAGGTCGGGCTCGCCACGGGGCAGGGCAAGTTCGTCGACATCGTCAGGGAAGCACAGAAGAGGGTCAGCCTCCACAACGTCAAGTACGTGGACGCCAAGGGCCTGCCCGTCGCCAGCGACTACACGCATCTTACCACGCCGGCGCAGGTGCGGCTCGGCAAGATGCTCGCCGCCTCCTACCTGGCAGCCACGCTCTGAGAGTCTGACTACTGCTGCTTCATTCTCAACTGCCATTGCCATTCCTTCCTTGTTGTCTTAGATTACAATTGCTACCAAATTACACCCGTCAGGCACACAGCAACACCCAATAAGCCTCATCATCTTGCTATGCTACCACCATGCCATGCATCTGCTCTAGAGCCTGCCTTCCATTCCTGTGTTGCTTACTGAATACTGATGGTGCAAAATTGAAAATGAAATGGTCATTCCTGGGGTTGCCGTAACAGCACCCATTAACCGCATTGTACTGTGTACGGGATTATTAATCAAGTCGGTATTAACTGCTCATTTCTGGCCAACCAATCGATGCTCGCATTTCATGCTCTTCATTCACAGTACTAGCACCAGGTTAAACTTGTACGGAACACGCCACGCTGTTCAGCGACCAAGTAATTGCCCACTAACTGCTCTGAGAGGCAATTCAGTTTTGACAGCATGTACTCATGCTTCAGGTCCAAAGAGAGAGCTCTACAAAAGCAGGCGACCTCAAAACTGTGACTCTCCTCAACAGATACAACATTACGGAGTATAGGAATATTCACTAGCTAGGTTTACTTGTAAACTACCGTATGATGTTACCGTGTCAGATCCATCACAGGCTAACAGAGACTCCGTATTGTTCAGTTCAGAGCTTTGTCACCTCTGCGCCTCAGAATTTCTGGGAGATTGCTCAGAATATGCGCTACCATTTGGTGGTTGTCTTGCCTCAAAAGAAGCTGGGCTGCAACTTTCAGGCAATTGATGATTTCTTTTCATAACGCTAGTGGAGGACTGTTCTGCTTGGTGTCAATATGAACTGTAGTTTCTTTGTCAGCTTTCACTTTCAGTAAACTAGCACCGTTCAACTTTGTTGGACTTCTGAGACCGACAATCCTAAATGAATTGGAAAGGGGAAAGTTTCAGTAGGCAACATCTGTATTAGTATATTCTCTACCTAAATATCAGTTTAGGGAGAAGGTAAGTCAGCTCACTGAAGCTGGTAAATCGTTGTGGAGCAAGGAAACAGCTTTCCTAACAACCAATACTATGGGGTACCTCCAAAGTCTGTCCAAGCCAAGCATCTGAAAATACCCCAAGTCGGGGGCGCAACATTCTGCCCTATTGTCAATGCCATTCATATAAAGGTAGCAATGCACTTACTGAAAGAAAGGAAGTTTTTTTCCCCTTCACCAACGCCACATGAGAGACAGGGCTTAGCTGAACCGTTCCCTGCCTAGTAATGTTCACTGCTAAAGCTAATTTAGAAGCTATAAGGAAACAGGGGGTTCAATGATATCAGACAGCAAGGTTATGATGTTTGTGCATACCATAATCATTTTTCATCGCACAGCTACGGAGGCACCAATGGGCGTGCCTGATGAGCTCATTATGCATCATTTCATTGCTACGGATTATGGAGCGTGCTTGATGAGCTCATTATGCATCGTTTCATTGCTAGGGCTTAGTGGCACGCTGAGTTTGAGCATATTTGACTACACTCAGACCACCACGTGACCATGAAGAGAAGAAAGAAATTTGTAACCCAGATTGTAAGCACTGGCACTCTGCCAACGGTTTGTAACATAAGAGGGTTTATAAGATTAGGTCTGCTCATGCAAGTTGCACAGATTTGGGGGCATCTGGAGGTTCATGTACTCATGAAAATCGGATGTTTCCTCTTGATCCAGATTCCAGAGTATGCAGTATACACAGATTTGTTGTGTGGGCAAAACATGCCATGTTGATGATGCGGGAATTCAGGATTCAGAAATGGCATGCCATCTGTATTCTCCTATACATGCTCTGAATGCAACCAACCAGGTTTTCCCAAGGCATGGCATATATAAGTGCACACAAGAGCAGATGGTAATGATGCCAGATACCACCAAGTCGGCAAGTCCTAAATCAAAACACACGGATTTGATTCGCTCGAATTTGTGGTTCATTAGATTAGACTATATGGATGGATGGTTCAAGTCAAGCACGGGTTATTTTGCAAGCTTATTTATTGTACAAGATGGTTTAATTCGATGGCTGAAGCAGCCGCTCTCCTGATCTCCCCCATCTACATTGGAGGGATTGGGAGGGGAGGCAAAAGCAAACGGTAGATGAGATGGAGATTAAGATGAGGCCTGTGGTGTAGAAGAGCAAAGCGGATGGTGGAATGGAAGAGGAAGGAGGGTTGCTTGCTAGCCCTGGGCGTCGTCGTAGGAACGGTGCAGGTCTGTGGTGCATCCGGGAGCGTCGGGGTCCTCGGCGCCGCAGCAGTCGTAGAACTTGGCGGCGTAGGGAGGGTCGCCGTCGCGGAGCTCGTAGTACCTGTACTACCTAGATGAATCAGATCATAGGCGAGCAGGGTGTAGGGCAGGGCAGGGTAGGGTAGGGTAGGCAGGCACCTCTTCTGGTCGTCGTGTCGGCGGCAGAGGAAGAAGGAAGGGTGGAACCTGCAGGACAGGCGCGTGTTGGCCGAGGGATCGTAGCTCGTCTTGCACCGCCGGCGGCAGGCAGGGGCAGAGGGAGGGCAGGCACGCCGCATGGGGTGCGGCGGCGGCGCAGTTGGAGGGCAGAGGCTCTGCTGGTGGGCAGATTGCACGCCGGAATCCATGCGAATGCGAATTCGGGGCGAGACCTCAGCGGAGTTGGAGGAGTCGAATCTGGTTTGTCCTGGAACCTGCTCCATGAACGACCTCGGATTCCGGCTTCCAGAAAACAGGGCGGGCAGCTCGATTGATGTCGTCCGTCGTGCGCCGCCGCCCCGTGACCGGCCACGACGCGGCACGCCGGTACGGCGGCAAAAGGCAGCACACGTGCGCGGGGCATGGCGGCATCACTTGCTCGGTTCCGTGAAACAGACGCTGCGCCTACAGCACAGTAGGTTTGGTGTCTGCTTTCCAAGGCAGTGGGTGGTACCTCGCCCTCCAGCCTACAGTACTAGTTCTGAACTGAGGTTAGCGTACGATAGTTAGGGGGCGTTTAGATCAAAAAAAAAATTTGGATTTTGGCTCACCGTAGCATTTCATTTGTATTTGATAATTAGTGTCTAATTATAGACTAATTAGATTCAAAAGTTTCATCTCGTGATTTCTCACCTAACTGTGCAATTAGTTTTTTTTTCGTCTACATTTAGTACTCCATGCATGTGCCGCAAGATTCGATGTGACGGGTACTGCGTAAATTTTTTTGGAATCTAAACTCCCCCTTACTAGTGCTGATGCATTAAGGCCGTGTTTAGTTGGGTGGAAGTTGAAAATTTGGCTACTGCAGCATTTTCGTTTTTATTGGTTAATTAGTGTTCAATCATGGACTAATTAGGCTCAAAACGTTCGTCTCACAATTTTCAACCAAACTGTGCAATTAGTTTTTTTCGTCTACATTTAATGCTCCATGCACGTATCGCAAGATTCGATGTGATGGCTATTGTAGCACTTTTTTGGGAAAAGTTTTCGCGAACTAAACAAGGCCTAAGCTGTACTCCCTCCATACCCAGATTTCAAGTCGTTCTGGGTACTTGGCTAGTTTTCACAAATCATGTCATTCTCTCGCACCGAAGGCAAGTTTGTACTGTGATTACCCTCTCCTTAATCACGCTGCGGCACGCCGTCCGCATTGATCGCGCATTACGTTACTCACGCCACCGTTTGGCTTGTCATTGGCGATCAATGAGTGCTGTCAGACCGCCTAAGACTTCGTTCCTCGCCGCACGCCTCCTCGCCTTACATCCTTTTCGCGTAGCCTCGCTGCTCACCGCACGCTGCATGTCCTCGTCGCCTCGCCTCGCCGCTCACCGCACGTCCTCCTCACCTCGCCTCGCCGCTCGCCGCACTTCCTCCTCGTGCTCGTGTTCGTCTCCTGCAACATGCTTGCCATGGAGCCCAGCGCCATGAAGCTCGCTCCAGCCACGGAGGAGGCGCTCGACTATGAAGTGGCGCCGAACTCAGAAGAGGTGGCGGTGGACACCAAATTGAGCAGCAACGATGCTTGTATCCTTCCTCCTTAGTTTCTCATTATTGCTTCTAGTCAACAAAGCTTGGTACACTTGTGCGCACTCGTGGTCTGTCATGTCCTTCCTTCGAGGATTTGGTTGAACGGTAGCATCATGAGCATGATCTAGTAGAGGAAAAAAGAAACAAAGTATCTGTAGCATCATCAGCAAGCGCTTCAACAAAGTAGTCGTGGCTTAACTAAAATGAATAATGTGATTGTGTCAAAAAAAGTTACCAGCAAGATTTTGTAGATAGTCGAAATTAATTGCACCGAACTCATCTAGTGGTAAGTTCAAATCAAGTACTGTAAAAAAAAGAAACAATGATTTAAGAACTGAGCAAAATCTGCATATGCTAAGAAACACACGAGAGCGCTAAGTGATGCATTACCGCCATGGTGAACTTCTGGCTCGTCGACGTCGAACACGTCGTTGTCGTCATCATCTTGTGGCTCGTCCACGTCGAACACGTTGTCGTCGTCGTCATCTTATGGTGCTGGAACGTTGAGATCAAACCCAGTGTCGGCTTCGTCATCTTCGGATGCCAGTACGTTGAGATCGAACTAGGAATATAATCAGACATTTGTACTGGGAGTAGAAGTAAGAAGGAAAGAAGAAGAAAAGGCGTGGAGTAGATGTAGTCTTCGGGCGAGATCTCACGCGTTTTATAGTAATGGGAGCAAGCGTGTGTGAAGACGCCAACACCGCTGCGGCGAGAACGGCGAAAATGCGTCGAACGCCAAAAATTTGAAAGCAAGCGAACACGTAACGCGCGCCAACACACGCAGCGAGAAAGCAAAGCGGAGCAAACGCTAAAAACACTCCTACACGCGCGCGTCACCTGTGCCAAAACGCTCCTGCACGCGCGCGCGAACGGCCAAATGAAAGGTCCTAATATGGCTAGAGGGGGGGTGAATAGCCTATTTAAAAATCTACAAATCAACTAGAGCAATTTGATTAGTATGACAAATAGCGTAATGCAAACTTGCTCTAACTCTACAAGGGTTGTAAGCCACCTATCCAACAATTCTAGTTGCAATGAATACTTAGGCACACAAACTAGCTATGTAATTACTCACTAAGAGCTCTCAACCTTGCTACTCTAAAGAGCTCAACTAGATAAATGTAAATAATAAAGCAAGCTCTCAATTCTAATTACACTAAAGAGCTTGTATCAACTAGTTTGCAAGAATGTAAATGAGTGAGTAGAGTGATTATACCGATGTGTATGGGATGAACCAATCACAAGATGAATATATAGCCAATCACCGGAAGAATGACAAAGAAGAGAGACAATCGATTTTCTCCCGAGGTTCACGTGCTTGCCAACACGCTTACGTCCCGTTGTGTCAACCAACACTTGGTGGTTCGGCGGCTAAGAGGTGTTTCACAAACCTCGCCCACACGATTGGACACCGCAAGAATCGACCCACAAGTGAGGTAACTCAATGACACGAGCAATTTACTAGAGTTACCTTCGGCACTCCACCGGGAAGGTACAACTCCCCTCACAATCACCGGCGGCCATGAACAATCACCAACTCGTGCCGATCCTTCACCGCTGCTCCAACCGTCTAGGTGGTGGCAACCACTAAGAGAAACAAGCGAAAACCATGAGCATAACCACGAATACCAAGTGCCTCTAGATGCAATCACTCAAGCAATGCACTTGGATTCTCTCCCAATCTCACAATGATGATGGATCAATGATGGAGATGAGTGGGAGGGCTTTGGCAAAGCTCACAAGGTTGCTATGTCAACGAAAATGTGCAAGATAGTTCCCTTGAGCCGGCCATGGGGCTATAAATAGAGCCCCCATCAAATAGAGCCGTTGTACCCGTCCTTTGGACAAAACACGCTTTGACCGGACGCTCGGTCATACCGACCGGACGCTGGCCCTCGGTCGTCCGGTCGCCGATGGACGCCACGCGTCACTAGCTTCAAACGCTGTTCGCCGATTTCAACGGCTCTGAAGCTGACCGGACGCTCCGGTCAAAAGCGGACCGACGTGAAGCCCGGTCCGGTCGATTCAAATAAGCTCCCGAGGCATGTTTTTGGCCGGGACGCGTCCGGTCCACCATGACCGGACGCAGACCAGCGTCCGGTGCTCAACTCCTGCTTGTGCCATCGTGGTCGACGATACCGATGACGACGCTTTTTTCAGCGTCCGGTCATTTGAGTGTTTCAAGCGTCCGGTCGATGAGACCGGCCTTGACATCATTTCGACCAACTCCATTTCAACTCTAACTTCTTCACCCTTGCTCAATTGTGCCAACCACCAAGATTTTGCATCCGTGCCAATAGAAAATAGACATTTCATTTTCCCGAAAGCGCGAATCCCCTACTCATAAGCTCGACGGGAGGGAGAGAGGGACCCAAACCCATCTCAACCCTGCAAACACCTTGTGCACATGTGTTAGCATATTTTCACAAATATTTTCAAGGGTGTTAGCACTCCACTAGATCCTAAATGCATATGCAATGAGTTAGAGCATCTAGTGGCACTTTGATAACCGCATTTAGATACGAGTTACACTCCTCTTAATAGTACGGCTATCTATCCTAAATATGATCACACTCACTAAGTGTCTTGATCACTAAAACAAAATGGCTCCTACATTTTATACCTTTGCTTTGAGCCTTTTGTTTTTCTCTTTCTTCTTTTTCAAGTTCAAGCATTTGATCATCACCATGCTATCACCATTGTCATGATCTTCGTCATTGCTTCATCACTTGGAGTAGTGCTACCTATCTCATAATCATCTTGATAAACTAGGTTAGCACTTAGGGTTTCATCAATTAACCAAAACCAAACTAGAGTTTTCACCAAACCCCGACCTCCACGCGCCCAAACTCAAGCAAGACAGGCGCCATGCAGCAAGCTACAGTGCCATGCAAATAATCTGGCGAATAAAAAAAAATACCACGGTACCGGCTCTTGAGCGATGGACGTCAGGTCCTCAAGGCCGCAGAGCCTTGGCCAAACGAGCTCTGAAAGTTTCTTTGGATAAGCGACGACGCCAGAGGCCTATTTAATAAGGGTAATGATGGAAAATTAACCCTTAATTAATTCCTTCTTGGTATGTACAATCTTGTCCTAAACGACTTGTTTTATGGGTATGGAGGAGTACGATAGTTAGGCTGGTTTAGTTCCAAAAATTTTCAACCCAAACTATCACATCGAATCTTCAAGGCACATGTATGGAGTATTAAATATAGACGAAAAAAATCACGAGACGAATGTTTTAAGACTAATTAGTCCATGATTAGCCATAAGTGCTACATTAACTAACATGCGCTTAATGATAGATTAATTAAGCTTAATAAATTGCCTCTCATGATTCGAAACAAGCTATGTAATTAGTTTTTTATTATTATAAAAACATCTTCCGATATCTCGAAACAACTAATGTGATATTAAAAAATTTTATTTCACGAACTAAACAAAGCTGGGTAGTTCTGAACTGAGGTTAGCGTTTACCCGTGCCGTCGCGTCGCTCCGCTTGCTTGGCACGCCACGCGACCTGCTGACGGTGACGGCTGACGCTGAGGAATCTGCCATTGGACAAGACAACCTGAGTCTGACTTCTGAGCGAGGCGACGCAGACCCTCCAGGCTTGTGT